CATTGCGTGGTCTGGCGGTACTGTAGTTCCGCCCTGATCTGAGCATATGAAATACGTCCTTTCATTTAGGGGTTTATGTGATTCGAACTCGACCCTTTTTTTACTGGCTTGACTTGTGTCGCTCTACCATCCGACACGTCGTTCCCATTTGAGTAAATTGAATACGGAAACATTCTATCATAGGTATTATTAAAAAAAAATACTTGCTGACCTGTTGGAACCTAATGCACAAAGAACAACCACCGAAGGATATCAGCTGCATTCATCGTTAAAAGTATCTTAGGCATTAACAAGAAATAACTTGCCGACCTGATGGCAAAAATGCACAAAGAACAACCACCGAAGATATCAGTGCATTCATCGTTAAAAGTATCTTAAGCATTAACAAGAAATAACCTGCCGACCTGATGGCAAAAATGCACAAAGAACAACCACCGAAGATATCAGTGCATTCATCGTTAAAAGTATCTTAGGCATTAACAAGAAATAACTTGCCGACCTGATGGCAAAAATGCACAAAGAACAACCACCGAAGATATCAGTGCATACATCGTTAAAAGTATCTTAAGCATTAACAAGAAATAACCTGCTGACCTGATGGCAAAAATGCACAAAGAACAACCACCGAAGATATCAGTGCATTCATCGTTAAAAGTATCTTAGGCATTAACAAGAAAATAACTTGCCGACCTGATGGCAAAAAATGCACAAAGAACAACCACCGAAGATATCAGTGCATTCATCGTTAAAAGTATCTTAGGCATTGATAAGAAATAACCTGCTGACCTGATGGCAAAAATGCACAAAGAACAACCACCGAAGATATCAGTGCATTCATCGTTAAAAGTATCTTAGGCATTAACAAGAAATAACCTGCTGACCTGGTGGGAATAATGCACAAAGAACAACCACCGAAGATATCAGTGCCATACATCGTTAAAAGTATCTTAAGCATTAACAAGAAATAACCTGCTGACCTGATGGCAAAAATGCACAAAGAACAACCACCGAAGATATCAGTGCATTCATCGTTAAAAGTATCTTAGGCATTAACAAGAAATAACTTGCCGACCTGATGGCAAAAATGCACAAAGAACAACCACCGAAGATATCAGTGCATTCATCGTTAAAAGTATCTTAGGCATTGATAAGAAATAACCTGCTGACCTGATGGCAAAAATGCACAAAGAACAACCACCGAAGATATCAGTGCATTCATCGTTAAAAGTATCTTAGGCATTAACAAGAAATAACCTGCTGACCTGGTGGGAATAATGCACAAAGAACAACCACCGAAGATGTCAGTAGATTCATCGTTAGAGTTGTTGTAACACGCTGCGATCCTATGGTGTGAAGAGCGAGGATGTCCCGCAGTTTTTATGGCTAGCCTCTCCTCGTTTGCTTGTAGACATCGGGGCATGTGTTGTTATCAATACCTACGCGATATGTGTCTTCAACGTGTTCAAAGTCTTGCTGCTCTTGGTACGTGGGCAAAACGTGGCATTTAAGCGTGTTTTACAGTCAAAATATAACTTGCACACTTATACACACACACACACACACACATTTATCAGAGGCGTCGCGAGGGGGTGGGGGAGGTATGCGGACCGCACCGGGTGACACCATTTAGGGGGGGGGGGTGACACCATGGAAAAAATAGCGAAATATATATATATATATATAGAAAAAATAATCATTCCCGTTTAATAAGGTGATTAATTTAAGTCTTTTGAGAGCAAAATTGAAACATCATGTCAAAAGTGTGTGTCGGGGGGGGGGGGGGGGGGGGGGGAATGGCACCATGATATAAACATGCAAAAGATATAGAAAACTATACTACATCCAACTGTAGATTTAGATTGTTTGAGGGCATATATATATATATATATATATATATATATATATATATATATATATATATATATATATATATATATATTATATATATATATATATATATATATATATATATATATATATATATATATATAAAACAGATGGTTGTAGGACAGGTGAAGATGTCACTTCATGTTTAGGACATGTAGCGCATTTTTATCTATTGGTTTGAACATAATTTTAAAAGAACGCGCGCCAGCTGTATAGAGAAATATAAAACGTGTATAAAATACATGGCAATCTTAACAACTTTGTTAATAATGACTAATTTTAGGGCTAGGGCTAGGGCTAGGGCTAGGGCTAGGGCTAGGGCTAGGGCTAGGGCTAGGGCTAGGGCTAGGGCTAGGGCTAGGGCTAGGGCTAGGGCTAGGGCTAGGGCTAGGGCTAGGGCTAGGGCTAGGGCTAGGGCTAGGGCTAGGGCTAGGGCTAGGGCTAGGGCTAGGGCTAGGGCTAGGGCTAGGGCTAGGGCTAGGGCTAGGGCTAGGGCTAGGGCTAGGGCTAGGGCTAGGGCTAGGGCTAGGGCTAGGGCTAGGGCTAGGGCTAGGGCTAGGGCTAGGGCTAGGGCTAGGGCTAGGGCTAGGGCTAGGGCTAGGGCTAGGGCTAGGGCTAGGGCTAGGGCTAGGGCTAGGGCTAGGTCTAGGGCTAGGGCTAGGGCTAGGGCTAGGGCTAGGGCTAGGGCTAGGGCTGGGGCTAGGGATTATTCGCACTTTATTAAATCATTTCAATATATAAATAATTAATGAAAATGTATTTCTAGTGACAATTTACACCCATTTTAGTGCTTTTATGTGAAGATATTACCATTTTCTTTCCGTGCTGTTCAACAGTGGGGACTGTGTGGCCAAGCGATAGAACACTACAATGCAATCCTTAAAGTACCGGGTGTCAGAAGAACTTCATTGAGTCTTTTTTACCTCTGACAAGACCTAAACTCTGGTAAACTCACGGTTGGCATAGTGCTGTTCACACAATCCCTTCTTATGCCGAGGTCACAAAATTCTACTCCGCTTTACTAATGAACCTTTAGGTCTGAAAGGTAATCTTAATCAAAGTAAACTTTACTACAGCAATTCATATGGCTAATAAAGCAGAGATATTTTTTTCTGAATCTGTTTCCGCCTATGATTTCTCTAATGTCAGTTATGCAGCCATCGGGACGCCGATTTGACTGAAATCGAGATTTTCGGAATAGCAGTTGTGCATCCCTTGCTCGCTCAGGAAAATGTAAAAAAAAAAAAACTTTTGGTTAATTTTATTTTTATTTTGCAGGGATTGGTTTTTATGGTATTTTTCTCTACCTACACAAGATTAAAAATATATCAGTTATCTTTAAAGTACACATAATTTCCGTTTTTTCGCAAGCCTAAATGAAAAAAATGAAGTAGATTCATTTCAAGCACATATTTTAAAGTGAAATTTTCATCCTACTTTTTTACCTACCATTCCTTTTCCCAAATCCATAATTATTTTTTATTATTATTGAACTATTATTGAATAGATATTATCGTACATGTTATATACAGTCCCCACACACATTTCAGAATCGAATCACAAATTGGAATGAAGTCAATGCATGAAGTTGAAGAATTGTGTAACAAATCTCCTCTTCGTAACGTTATTAATTGTAATTTTGGACTTCATTTCGCCCAACAAAATAGTGTATTATTTGTCAACATTGTTTGCAACAAATAAGTTGTGGACTCCAATTATAGCCTGCTTGAGATTTTTCTTCCTTTGTCCATCCAAACTATAACTAAGCAGCTGTTTGATTTTGGAGTTTACTCTCCTAGATTGGTTGCTGTCCCTAACTATCGATCCTCATCTGCCAGACGGTTCGAACTCTTCAGTTTAGCAAAAGTGTCTTTTAATTTTCGAAATATGTCCAGTAGTTTATTTCAAGGCGTAGCGAGGGGGGGGGGGGGCGGGGGGTGACACCATTTAGGGGGGTGACACCAAGGCAAAAAATAGCAAAATATATAGAGAAAATCTTAAGGGGGTGCAAATCGAAAGTTTGAGGGAGGGGGGGGGGTGCAAATCGAAAATTTGAAAGTTTGTCGCTACGCCTCTTGGGGTGACACCATTAAGTGCCGCACCAGGTGGCACCCGACCTCGCTACGCCACTGGTTTATTTAGCTTCACGATTTCTGGAAGAAATAAATAACCCCCGACCTTTTTCGCAGTACATTTTGCCAGCATGTGCTTTTTCTGAGGTTTTGTGATGCTGAAGTGCATGCTACGTCTAAAGTGTATGTGAAAATGCGTGGTTTTATGTTTGTATGTATATCTATGAATATATAAACATACTCAAGACTATCAGCTTTCTTTATGTATAACGATGTATGTAAAATAGTACGTTTTTTCTTACTATTTCAATGATTACTTTTTTATATATTAATTGTAATTGCAGATTGATTGCTAATAGTTGCTCTTTATTATACTATGTCAAAGAATAAGTCGATAAAAGTTGTCATAAAGTGTGTGAGTAGGTGCATGGTTTTATGTTTGTATGTATATCTATGTATATGTAAACATACTCAAGACTATCAGCTTTCTTTATGTATAACGATATATACATATATATATATATATATATATATATATATATATATATATATATATATATATATATATATATATATATATATATATATATGTAAAATAGTACGTTTTTTCTTGCTATTTCAATGATTACTTTTTTATATATTAATTAAAATTGAAGATTGATTGCTGATAGTACAATGTTGATCTTTATTATACTATGTCAAAGAATAAGTCGAAAAAAGTTGTCATAAAGTGTGTGAGTAGGTGCATGGTTTTATGTTTGTATGTATATCTATGTATATGTAAACATACTCAAGACTATCAGCTTTCTTTATGTATAACGATATATACATATATATATACATATATATATATATATATATATATATATATATATATATATATATATATATATATATATATATATATATATGTAAAATAGTACGTTTTTTCTTGCTATTTTAATGATTACTTTTTTATATATTAATTAAAATTGAAGATTGATTGCTGATAGTACAATGTTGATCTTTATTATACTATGTCAAAGAATAAGTCGAAAAAAGTTGTCAGGTCAAAATATTTAATTTTAACAAAAGCAAAGACAGCACACAAAAAAAAAACTGTTTTCTTTTTTCCTTGGTGTACGGTTAGGTTGAAATCTGTGCTGTATGCTTGAAATATAACTATCACCATCTGCAAAAATAAATTTTGGTATTATTTTATTAAGGCAAATCTAATTAAAATTATAAGTTATTTTAATTTGAGAAAATATACTTAGAATATTATGATGCCATGTTAAATAAATGTCTTCCAACATTTTGTGTTAAATTGTTTACTTACTTTTGTAAAAAAATTCTAAATTACTCGCTAAAGGTAGTATTAAAACAGTAATTATTACTTTTTTTTTTATTTAAGAACAAATAATGGATTTTACTTTTTTTGATTACCATTGAGCAATAAATGCAAATCATGTTTATGGGATAAAGTGATTTGGTGGTAGAGTGCAGTGCAGTAGCGTAGCGAGGGGGGGGGGGGGGGCGGGGGGATATATGTCCCCGGGCACCGACCTTAGGGGGCGCCAAAATGGGTTGGAAAAATAAATTGAAAGGTTGAGGGGGGTGGAAATCGTAAGTTTGAGGGGGGGGGGGGGTGCAAATCGAAATCTTGACGGGGGGGGGGGTGTAAATCGAAAGTTTGAGAGGGGGGTGCAAATCGAAATCTTGAGGGGGGGGGGGGGTGCAAATCGAAAAGTTTGTCCCCGGGCGCTGGGAAGGGTCGCTGCGCCTCTGGTGCAGGGCTACTAACCCGAAAATCTCGAGTTCGGATTCATGACTCTAGTGCCTGTGGGGGGAGGGGGGAGGGGGTTATCGCCTTGACGCGAGTTAAGACAATTGGGCATCACGTTGATCACTTTATTTCTTCACCTACCTGGAACACAGGATCAGGTAAACTCTACTTTATTTGTCGCATGCACTACATTGTCTTGGTGGGTGATTTCGAAATCGATTTGTTTTTTTAAAGTTACGGTAATTGACGTTTATTTCTCAGTTAAATCAAGGGCGCGGTAAAAAAAAAAAAAACTTTTTAAATACTCGTTAGAAAACAGTTATTTCTTTACAGCTTTATCAAGATACATCCGCATATGCATTTCCACTAAAAAAAATCGTGGAAAAATCTTGGTAACTATGACGACGGCGGCCATCTTGAAAAATTAGAACCTTTGTAGGTTTTCCGCCATTCATAAAATATTATATTTTAAGCTTAATAAACAATGAATTCATAATCTTTTTCCATATTTTGGGGGTACTCAGCTAAAAATGTTACGTGCATATATTCAAACTGTTTTTATGAATTTTCAACTTGTGGAAATGCATACGTGGATGTATCTTAATAAAGCTGTAAATAAATAACTGTTTTCTAACGAGTAATATTTTTTTAACGGAGCCTCACCCCTTAAATCAAGGGCGCGGTAAAATCCATATTTTTTTTTTCATTTTAATTTTAAGCTCTTCAAAACTTACCCTCTACGACGGTGCGTGGTAGTTCTTTTTTTAACACTTGGAAAAAAAAACTTCAATTAATTAACCTAAAAAACTTAAATTTGTATGTAATATAATAATTATAGAAATAAATAAAGCCTGTATTGAAATAAAATATTTCTTTAGTTTGTTTGGTTGTTCTTTTTATTCTGTGCTTAAACACGTTGCAATTAAAGTTAACATAAAATTTAGTATTATGTAAAAAATAAATTACAGAAAATAAAGAAAAAGAAAAAAAAATTACTTACTTATAAAATACAAATTAACTTTAAAAAAGAAAACATGATTTAGACTTACATAAGAACATGGTTTATCGTTTTTTAAGGTATTTTTGATAACACCCATTATAACTCGTCGTGAGTCAATAATAGACATAGCAACTAGCTGATGTGTTTGGTGATTTTTTCTCTACTTCATTTAATGAGGACTAAAATTTAATCAAGACACTTACGTTGTTGTTTTTTTCTTTTTCACATCTTTTGCCTTCTCTGCCTTGGACGCATGGTTGCCTTTATGTTATAAATTTTAATCATTAACATACTTACAATCATAGATAGGTCTAGCAAACATACTTTGTCTAATTTTATATATATTTTAGCGAACAATAATTTTAGTTAAAAAAACAGAAGTGTGTTACTTTAAGCCCCAATTTTTTTTTAGAAAAAAATATTATCCTCTTCTTCGTTTTTAGCGCTATTTCCATACTGACTATTGCGATTATTAATTCGTTATTTCTGGATGGATGGATGGATTAATGGATGTGTGTCCGCAGCCTTAAGTCGTATCTTCTCCTCAACGAAGCAATATCGAGGACTAGTTCCAAAGCAAATATGTTAAGCAAGTACCGAGGATGATTGTGGGCCAAAATAATTCCCGGAATTCCTTCCTGGATTTCCCGGAAAAGCCAAAAAACCTAGAAAAAATGCAGTTTTTTGCCCATATCTCGGCAACTAGACCACTTAGCGTCTTGAAACATTTACCAATCGATTCCTGTCATAATTTAGAACAATATTGCCGAGAAAGTTTTCAAAAATATCCTTTCGTTCGGGCACAAAAAATTAATTAAGGAAATTGCGCTTAAATTGTCACTAGACTTTTTATTAACTTGTTTTAATTTTAGTGTTTGAAGGGATCCCCTTCAACACAATTAGGTATACGTGTCAACTAGTTATGGACCATAGAGGCCATTGACTGCTTTCCGATTTAGATTTGATTCGGTAGCCTTTCTCCAACCAAGAACAAACTAAAAGGCAGCATTTATTTTATTTTGGAGTTGTCTCTCCTAGAAGAGTGGCTGTCCACAGCTAACAAGCCTCAACTACCCGAGGGTTTAAACGCGAGACTTTTCGGTTTAACAACCATGAGCTTTACCGACTAGAACTCTAAATATCATCCAACGTGTTTATATTAAACGAGCCGACCCGCTGCGTATCATACGCCGCTATTTAGTTGTTTTTTTTTTTCTACTTTTCAGTAATTTATAATTTGTGAACTCAACAGTACCAATGCTGCCATTGAAAATATTTGCTTAAAAACACTAACCCCCCCCCCCCCCCACGTGAAAGCAGCCTCCTCTTAGTTACCTCCTCTAAGTTTAAAATCGTTTCAAACTCAATTATCTGCCCCTAATAGCCGTCACCAAACCCGTCTCTATGATTGTAAAATGTAAACAGAGTGAACACCGCTCATGTGGGGGTGGGGTGGGAGTGGTAGTGATAGTGATAGAGAGGAAGAGAGGGGACTGCAAAGGCGCGCTTGCAGCTTGTTTTCTAACTGATCCCAGAAGAGAATTATATATATATAGATAGATTACAACAAAAATCTGGCTTTTTGACGGGGGGAGGGGGGAGGTAAATATCGTCAAAAAAGCGTGATATAATATATGAATGACCCATAAACACAACTTACATTCGTCAGCCGCTAGTTCGAACATTTCTATTATTTCTTCTAAAAACTCAACACCTTTAGTGTCTTTTTTACACTGTTTTTTGACTTCTTGTACGCAGTGGACTAAGTCTGGTATATTTCTGTCGATGAGCAACATTACGTCACAAATGTGTAACAAATATAAATGTACATTTTAATAAACATATTGATTACTAAGTTTTTTTTTTTTTTTGTAATAAATAACGACAAAGCGCTTTGACTACTTTAAAAACAACCCTACTTTTCACTTTATTTTATTGGTTATATAAATTCAAGTACTTGCACTGCTGGTGAAATTCTTGCTCTTTGATCTCATTCGCAAGAGCTTCGCATTTTTTGTTACTCAGTTCAGCGCAGCTAAGTTGTTTGTGAGTTGCCCCTGCTTTGTGTCCTGATTTGGCAGGTACATCTGAAAAAAAAAATGGACAGCTTATTTTTTATTAATTTGTTCTGTTTCTTTTTTCTTAATTCTTGTGTTGGTGGCGATTCCATCCAACACAGTATTACGTGTGCCTATCTCTATATTTATTCTATTTTAATCCCCATGACTTTCACTGCCGATCTATTTTTATTATAAATAATCTAACGATAACCCTAATATAACTTTATCCATATCTATATCCACATCTCTGTTCCTATTCATAGTTTATAATAACTTATCCTTAACCTTCTGTTATAGATACAGCTGAATGTATCCTTTTCCAGATACTTACTCTCAGTGGCTTAGCGAGGTCGGGTGTCACTCGGTGCGGCACTTAATGGTGTCACCCCCCCCCCCCCCCCCCCCCCGGGGAAAAACTTTCAAGTTTTCGATTTGCACCCCCACCCTCAAACTTTCGATTTGCACCCACCCTCAAGTTTTCGATTTGCACCACCCCCTTCAAACTTTCGATTTGCACCCCCCCCCCACAAGTTTTAGATTTGCACCCCCCCCCCTCCAGTTTTTGATTTGCACCCCCCTCAAACTTTCGATTTGCACCCCCCCTCAAGTTTTTCTCTATATATTTTGCAATTTTTTGCCTTGGTGTCACCCCCCCCCCCTAAATGGTGTCACACGGTGCGGTCCGCACCCCCCTTCTCGCTACGCCCCTGCTTACTCTGTATAGAGTAAATTAGGAATCGGCACTGGGAATGATGAATGGGACAAAGCGATGTCATACTGCTGTTCTTTTTTTTTTTGGCAGTGGTAATTTACCAGAGGTATTTGACAGGGGTTGATGGAGATTGGTCAGGGTTGGTAATGATGACGGGAAATTAGTGGGGGTATTTGTTTATGATTTAACATGTCAGTGAGACAGCATGTCAGAGGCAACGTCTCAATACGTCAATGTGTCTATGTGACAAATTGTTAATCTGTCATGATGCTTATGTGTCAATGTCTATATATGTATGTGTGCCTATGTGTATTTACGTCTTAGGAAATGAGTTTTTGTTTCATGTATGTGAGTATGCGTCTGTTTGTCTAGGTCTATATATCTATACGTGTATGCATTTATAGGACGTGTGATAATTTAAGTGTCTATATATCTATGCCTCCATGTGTCTATATGTCAATGTGTCAATCTCAAATTGTTAATCTGTCAGAATGTCGATGTGTCGATAACCATATGTGTTTTTATGTCTATGCGTATATATATTATACATCTGCGACGATGTGTGACGGAGTGGACGGGGGGGGGGGGAGGAGGTAAAAATTGTCAAAAAAAACCTTACGTCATTTATTATGACACCCCCCCCCCCCCCCCAAAAAAACAACATACACACAACTTACTTCTATTAGCCGCTTGTTCTTGTTCGATCGATGCCAACATATTGTTTAAGATTTCAACACCTTCAGTGTCTTTTTTACAATGTTTTTTCACTTCATTTATGCAATGAGCTATGACCCGTAGAGCTCTGTCGATGAATAAAATTTCGTCAAAAATGTTTAACAAATTAACAAATATAAATGTACACTTTAATAAATTTACTTACTGCAAACTTTTTTTATATTTATAAACAACGACAAAGTATTTTGACTGTTTAAAAATAAAATACTTTTTTACTCTATTTTATTGTGTGTGTGTGTGGTTTTTTTTTGTGTGTTAAATTTCATTACTTATGGAGATCTTGTCCCAGATTGTTCGCAAGAGGTCCGCATTTTTTTGTATACAGTACTGAGCAGCTACCAGGTTTAGCAGTGTCTAATGCTTTGGGCTTGGCTTTATCAGGCACAACTGAAAAAAAAAATTGACAGTTCAGTTTTATTATTTGTTTTCTTCTTCTTCCTTGTTCTTAAGGATACAAGATACACATGTTTTCGATTTAAAAAAAAATTTTGCTCATAAAAATTTTTATTTCTAAATTCGGTACTAATACCTTTTATCTATCTAACCCGAACATTTCGGACTTCTACAGAAAATGGTTATCCTTTTATTGCAATGTGAAACATGGTACCCCACGACAAATTTTCACACTACTACTCTATTGTTGGTAGAAATTCCAACCCATTACGTGTCAAGTTAATATGCTATATATATATGCCATTGACTCCGATTTCAGCCTGCTTTGATGTTTGGATATGCTACCATAGCTTTGCTCAACCAACACTAAACTATAAGAAAAAATTATTTCGTTCGATTTCTATATTTCAATACAGTATCTACAATGATATATGTGTGTAATTTTAGACATATCCGTATCCATATATCTATTTCAATTTCCATCTCTATCTCTATATATTTATTCTAATTCCATTCTGTTTGATTTTCACTTCCTCTCAATTTTTATTATCAATAATCTAACAATAACCCTTAATATAACTGTATTTATAGCTATATTCACATTTCTTTTTTATTCATAATGTTAGAATAACTTATCCTTAACCTACACCTATACATACAGCTGACTCCATCCTTTTTCATATACTTATTGTGTATAGAACAAATTAGGAATTGGCAGTGGAAATATGAGGAGGGACCAGAGGCGTAGCGAGGGGAGGGGGGGGGGGGGGGGGGGGGCGGGGGGGGGGGGGAATTATGTCCCAAATTGAAAGTTTGAGGGGGGGGGTGTAAATGAAAAGTTCGAGTGGGGGCGTGCAAATCGAAAGTTTGTCCCCGGGCGCCGGGTAGGGTCGCTACGCCTCTGGAAGGGACAACATAATATCCAACTGCTGTTCTTTTTGGCATGGTGATTTTCAAGAGTTATTTACAAGGGTTTATAGATGGGTGATGTAATTGTAATTATAACCGGAAATTTACTGGGAGTAATTATCTATGATTTAACATGTCTATGATACAGTACATCACTCAAACACAACTTACATTTATTAACCGCGTGTTCGATCTTTTGCAATAAATGGTTTAAGCTTTGGACACCGTCAGTGTCTTTTTTACAATGGCTTTTGACATCATGTATGCATTGAACAACGACCGGTACATATCTGTAGATGAGTAACATTACGTTACCAATGTTTAATAAATACAATTGTACATTTTAATAAATATACTGTTTGCAAAGCTTTGTGTTTTTGTTTTTTTTTTATGAAAAACCATAAAGCATTTTTACTTATTTAAAAAAAACATACTTTGTACTGTATTTAATTAGTTTTATAAATTTAATTACTTGATCTTTTGGTCAAAGTCTTGTTCTGACATTTCGTGCGCTATTTCTTTGCATTTTTTGTTATACAGTGCAGCGCAGCTATGTGGTTTTGGAGCTGCCCCGCCTTTAGATCCGGCAGGTGCAGGCACAACTGGAAAAAATTAAGAATTTAGTTTTATTCAGTAGCGTAGCTAGGGGGGGGGGGCGGGGGGGGACATACGTTCTCAGGCGCCGACCTTAGGGGGCGCCAAAATGGGTTGGAAAAAATAAAATCGACAGTTTGAAGGGGGGGGGGTGCAAATCGAAATCTTGAGGGGGGGGGGGTGCAAATGGAAAGTTTGAGGGGGTGAGGGGTGCAAATCGAAATTTTGAGGAGGGGTGCAAAAAGAAAAGTTTGTCCCCGGTCGCCGGGAAGGGTCACTACGTCTCTGGTGTTATTAATTTTGTTGTTCTTCTTCTTTGTTTATATTTCTATTATTGGATGAGATGAAAATATGAGATTCCGTCCAACACAGTCACGTATGACGTGTCAAATTGTGATGCGCCTAATAAGGCTGTAGACACCGATTTCAACTTGCTCTTATGTCTGGATTCGCTTCCATAGGCTTTGTCTAACAAACAACAAACTACAAGAAATTAGTTTTGTTCGATTACACTATTTTCTTACAGTATCGAGAATGATTTTCCTGTGAGGTAATTTTACACATAACCGTACGGATTTACTTAACCCTATCCCTGTTCCCATCCCTATCTCTATGTCTATTCTATTGCCATTCCCTTTGACGTCCACTTCCGATCTATTTTTTATTATCAATAACCTAACGATAACCCTAAATGCTGACCGGTTCCCAGAACGATAAGCAACGGAAAAAAAGCGCAACGGAAAAAAAAAGCGCAAAACAAAAAGCGCAACGAAAAAAAAGCACAAACAGAAAAAAAAGTGCAACATTCACACGCACTGTGGGGTCTGCGTGGTCGAGTCGGTAAAGCTCATGGTTGCTAAACCTAAAAGTCTCGAGTTCGAACCCTCGCGCAGCCACTGTTGGCAGCCACTCTTCTAGGAGAGAAAACTCCAAAATCAAACAACTGCTGACTTGAAGTTTGTTCTTGGTTGGAGAAAGGCTATGGAAGCAAATCCAAAAAGAAAAGCAGGCTGGAATCGGAGTCAATGGCCTCAATGGCGCATGGTCGAGTCGGCAAAGCTCATGGTTGATAAATTCGAAAAAAAGTCTCGAATTCAAACCCTCTGGCAGATAAGACTCGATCCCTCCCAACACTAAAAATTAAGAACGAAAAAGAAGAAGAAGAACTCGCACTGTGTCTACCCAACTCATAACAGATGTTTTTAAGTTTTAGTTTATGGGGTAGGTTGGTTTTATGGTTGGAGTGCAAATCGAAAGTTTGTCCCCGGGCGCCGGGTAGGGTCGCTACGCCTCTGGAAGGGACAACATAATATCCAACTGCTGTTCTTTTTGGCATGGTGATTTTCAAGAGTTATTTACAAGGGTTTATAGATGGGTGATGTAATTGTAATTATAACCGGAAATTTACTGGGAGTAATTATCTATGATTTAACATGTCTATGATACAGTACATCACTCAAACACAACTTACATTTATTAACCGCGTGTTCGATCTTTTGCAATAAATGGTTTAAGCTTTGGACACCGTCAGTGTCTTTTTTACAATGGCTTTTGACATCATGTATGCATTGAACAACGACCGGTACATATCTGTAGATGAGTAACATTACGTTACCAATGTTTAATAAATACAATTGTACATTTTAATAAATATACTGTTTGCAAAGCTTTGTGTTTTTTTTTTTTTTTTTTATGAAAAACCATAAAGCATTTTTACTTATTTAAAAAAAACATACTTTGTACTGTATTTAATTAGTTTTATAAATTTAATTACTTGATCTTTTGGTCAAAGTCTTGTTCTGACATTTCGTGCGCTATTTCTTTGCATTTTTTGTTATACAGTGCAGCGCAGCTATGTGGTTTTGGAGCTGCCCCGCCTTTAGATCCGGCAGGTGCAGGCACAACTGGAAAAAATTAAGAATTTAGTTTTATTCAGTAGCGTAGCTAGGGGGGGGGGGGGGGCGGGGGGGACATACGTTCTCAGGCGCCGACCTTAGGGGGCGCCAAAATGGGTTGGAAAAAATAAAATCGACAGTTTGAAGGGGGGGGGTGCAAATCGAAATCTTGAGGGGGGGGGGTGCAAATGGAAAGTTTGAGGGGGTGAGGGGTGCAAATCGAAATCTTGAGGAGGGGTGCAAAAAGAAAAGTTTGTCCCCGGTCGCCGGGAAGGGTCGCTACGCCTCTGGTGTTATTAATTTTGTTGTTCTTCTTCTTTGTTTATAATTCTATTATTGGATGAGATGAAAATATGAGATTCCGTCCAACACAGTCACGTATGACGTGTCAAATTGTGATGCGCCTAATAAGGCTGTAGACACCGATTTCAACTTGCTCTTATGTCTGGATTCGCTTCCATAGGCTTTGTCTAACAAACAACAAACTACAAGAAATTAGTTTTGTTCGATTACACTATTTTCTTACAGTATCGAGAATGATTTTCCTGTGAGGTAATTTTACACATTTTTTATTATCAATAACCTAACGATAACCCTAAATGCTGACCGGTTCCCAGAACGATAAGCAACGGAAAAAAAAGCGCAACGGAAAAAAAAAGCGCAAAACAAAAAGCGCAACGAAAAAAAGCACAAACAGAAAAAAAAGTGCAAACAGAAAAAAAGCGGAAAAAATATGCGCAACGAAAAAAAGCGCAAACAGAAAAATGCGCATTTTTTAGTGTGCACAAATTTCCTTACGCGCTTTTTTTCCGTTTCGCATATTTTTCTGCTCTTTTTTTCCATTGCCTTTTTTCCCGTTGCCCTAAATATTTCTTTATTCACATCTATATCCACATCTTTTTCCCTATTCATAATGTTAAAATAACTTATCCTTAACCTACTGCTAAACATACAGTTGAATGTATTCTTTTCCATATACTAATTATGCCGTTTTTGTTTGGCAGGGGTAATTTACCAGAGGTATTTGACAGGTATTGATGGATCGGGGTTGGGGGGGGGGTGGGGGGGGGGGGGGGGTAATGATGACGTGAAATTACTGGGGGTAATTGTCTATGATTTAACATATATATGAGACATTATGACAACATCAATATGTCTATGTGTCCATATGTCAATTAGTCTATATGCCAATGAGTCAATGTGTCAAATTATTAATATCTGTATATCAATGTGTCGATTTCTTCATGTCTGCGTGTCTATCTGTGTATACGTCTTGTGAAATGCGCACCTTCTTTTAGGTGTATATGTGTCTGTTTGTCTATGGGTCTATAAGTATAAACGTTTATGCATTTATACGGCATACATCAATTCAGTGTCTATATGTCTATGTGTCTATGTGTCTATGTGTCTATGTGTATATGTGTTCTATTTGTCTATGTGTCTTTGTATATATGTGTCTTTGTATATATGTGTCTATGTGTCTATGTGTCTATGTGTCTATGTGTATATGTGTTCTATTTGTCTATGTGTCTTTGTATATATGTGTCTATGTGTCTATGTGTATATGTGTTCTATTTGTCTATGTGTCTTTGTATATATGTGTCTATGTGTCTATTTGTTTATGAGACTATATGATTATGTGTCTATGTGTCTATGTGTCTATGTTATATGTGTCTATATGTCTATGTGTATATGTGTCTATATGTCTATGTGTCTATATATCTATGTGTCTATGTGTCTATGTGTCTATGTGTCTATGTGTCTGTGTGTCTTTGTGTCTATGTGTCTATATGTCTATGTGTCTATGCGTATATCTGTCTGGACAAGCAAACGCTTAGTAACTAAGATTAGAGAATAGCTCTGCCGACCGTTTTAACACTCTTAAAAAAGTATTCTTACATACATAAATTTCTTATTAAAATTTCCTAATAATATTTTAATTACTATTATTAGCTTATTTATTTAGTTCACTGTATTTAAATAGTCTAACATTTATAGTACATCTCACTTTAAATTACACTTTAACATTTAAAACACATCAAGCTTTACAAGTAACAATAGAACCATACGTGTTTTCAATGAAGGTATAATAGATGTAATTGATGTAAAATGTTACAAAATGTTACCAGCTCGATGTAATGTGTTTACAAAGAACAAACAGCAATTGTATATGTAACTTAATTGAGCAAATCATCATCACCATTAACATTTCCCAACCTTTGCAAGACACATTGGACAGATGAAGTAGAGTTCTTTTCCGTCCATGTCCTTGACTCACAAATAGACAGGACTATGCCCATCCGCTCTACTTTCCCCTACGTGAGCTATGTACAATAGGGCTTGTAAGTCTCTTTACATTATCAGTTTTTACGATTTTAAATAACTTAACAATAGCGTTAGTAACTTTTAATTATTTATTTTACCGATTTAATAAACATATTCACAATTGGTTTGAAAAATACTAGCTGGCTAGTATCATAAGAAGTTGGTGACCTACTTACAAGCCCTATTAGACTCAAGAATCGCTATTGACGCAAGCATATGATTCGAACTCGAGACTGTAGTGACTGGTTTCACTTGTGTTGCTCTACCATCCGACCACGTCGTTACAATTTGAATAAATATAATACGGAAAACATTCTATCTTAGGCAAAATTAAAAAGAAACTTGCTGACCTGATGGCAAAAATGCACAAAGAACAACTAGCGAAGATGTCAGTAGATTCATCGTTAGAGTTGTCGTATCTAACAGCGATCCTGCAGTATGAAGGGTACGGCTTTCAAGCGGTATTTATGGCAAAGCCCCCGTCGGCTGTTTGTAAACGTAGTGGCATATGCAGCTATTAACACCTACGCGACATGTGCCTTCAAATTATGGCTCTTTGCACGTGGCGAGAAACGTCGTAATCGATGCGATTATGATGTAAACGTTGTTGTATAATCAAAATATAAATTGTACACGCCCGCACTCGCACTCGCACTCGCGCGCACGCACATACACACACACACACACACACACACACACACACACACACACATATATATATATATATATATATATATATATATATATATATATATATATATATATATATATATATATATATATTTATATATATATATATATGTATATATATATATATATATATATATATATATATATATATATATATATATATATATATATATATATATATATGTATATATATATACAACTTCATGTTCAAAAGTAGTAGCTAGTAGCGATTTAAAAGCTGTCGTAACAGAAACCACATTTAATTTAAACGGTATTTTGGAAGGAGAATATTGTTAAATAAAATGACAATATCTAGTAAATAAAGCTCGAACTGATACTGTATTTATGTACTACGGACCGAGGGAAGACATGTTTATTATCTGAATTAGTGATTTTAATTAAAAAAATATTATATGATCGTCTGTAAAACAAATTTCCCAAACGTATAATTTTAATTAAATGTATGTGAAATAAACAAAGTCAAGGAATATGTATCATCCTTCACAAAAATTAAAACTTGTACAAATTCCTTCACTTTGTGGGTGGGTGTTGTATTGCTTGGTAAGTCCCGAGTTCGAATCCCGGGCATATTAAAATTGTTATCTGGTGACAAAAACCCATCTTGTATGCAGAGGTAGGGCTAGGGCTAGGGCTAGGGCTAGGGCTAGGGCTAGGGCTAGGGCTAGGGCTAGGGCTAGGGCTAGGGCTAGGGCTAGGGCTAGGGCTAGGGCTAGGGCTAGGGCTAGGGCTAGGGCTAGGGCTAGGGCTAGGGCTAGGGCTAGGGCTAGGGCTAGGGCTAGGGCTAGGGCTAGGACTAGGACTAGGACTAGGACTAGGAGTGCAGTTAGTGTTAATCTTTAGCTTATGGTTAGGTTTAGAGCTGTGAGACTTGATCCAATACTATGTAAGGATACCACTCCCATGACCAGTATTTACACATCTCAACGATACATGTGATAATTACTTTACAAGATACACATTATCTTCTACTTCAGATACTTATTCAACTACTGGCCTCATCAAATCAGTATACAATTATCACTGATATGGACATCACACGAAGTACCTATCAGTGATATTCATTACCTAGCCCGATCTCCCTGGCTTACATTCAACAACAATCAGTTTCTAACGGAAAACTGGGGACAGCCACTCTTCTAGGAGAGACATCTCCAAAATCAAACAACTGCTGCCTTGTAGTTTTTTCTTGGTTGGACAAAGGCTATGGAAGCAAATCCCAAAAGAAAAGCAGGCTGAAATCGGAGTCAATGGCCTGAATTGCGCATAACCAGTTGACACGTAATCCTTAATTGTGATGGAAGCTCATGGTTGATAAATTCGAAAAAAGTCTCGAGTTCAAACCCTCTGGCTGATAAGACTCGATCCCTCCCAACACTAAAAATTTAAACGAAGAAGAAGAAGAAGAACTCGCACTGTGTCTACCCAACTCATAACAGCTGTTTTTAGGTTTTAGTTTATGGGGTTAGGGTTGGTTTTATGGTTGGGGTTATGTCAGTAGAAAATTTTGAGGGCATAAGTGTTTGTACTTTATCGGCTTTCTTGTTTGGTTATAATCCCAGATAAAATACGATTGATTAATACTCTGCCAGTCTCCTACAATTTGTTAACAAAATACCTTGGTGTTATAATACACTATGCGTTTTCTAAATTTACCGGTAGCGGGTTTAATTTGTGTTCTCAAGATGTGGGTAATTATTAATTTGTATAACCATCAGGTATCGGGTTTGGTGAGAAGAGGGGGGGGGGATAAATATCATGACATATGGCATGAGGGTGGAGACGGTGGTTGGACGGGGGGGGGGGGGGTAATCTATCGTGGGTCGCGAAATAAATATACGTTTGTATTTGCATGTGTGTGTGCGTGTGTACTTAGGCACGTAGACACATGCGATAAATTAGTTTTATATCTAAACATGTGTGTATGTCTGTGTGTGTGTGTTTGAATTATAAAAGTTTTAATTAAACTCTCAAGCGGGGTGTGATAAAACATAAGGATTATACTAGAACATACTAGAACATATTATTAAAATGTATGTTAAATGTATGTTGCAGTAAGTGTTTGATATCCCCAACTATTACTGCTGACGTGTTTCATGTTTGTTACAAAGAACTATGAAGGGTGTGTGAAAGTATCAGTACTGAGAATGTAGCTGTTTTACATCAACGCTCAATAGATTGTATTTTTGAGTTAAAGATACAACGAACGAAATGAAATTTATATAATTTATATAGAAAATATATACTTTTAACAGTGTCCGCCCCCCTCCCCCGAAGAAAGTCTACCCCCCCCCCCCCCCCCGAAAATTTTAAGTGCCTCCCCACACCCCGGAGAAAAAAGTCTGGAAGAAACACTAGTTAAATTAACGCTAAATACAGTGTTACGTTTAGTTAGACGAATGAGGATATTAATTTTCCCTACACTAATGAGAGTGTCACATTTGTCACACGTACACTCAGATGCGTAGCGACCCTTCCCGGTGCCCGGGGACAAACTTTCGATTTGCATCTACCTCCCTCAAACTTTCGATTTGCACACCCCCCACCCCTTAAACTTTCGATTTGCATCTCCCCTCAAACTTTCAATTTGCTTTTACAACCCATTTTGTCGCACCCTAAGGTCGGCGCCCGTGGACATATGCCCCCCCCCCTCGCTGCGTAGACTAATTTATAAACTAATAAGATTGTCTCCTTTTCTTACAAATCAAAGAGTGTATATTTTTGTAACACTAATGAAAGAGTCACATTTGTCTCACGTATGCTAATTATGGTGTAATGATTTCTAAACTAACGAGATCGTCACTTTTTGTTACACATCAGAGAGTGTATATGTTTGTTACACTAATGGAATTGTTAGTTTTTGTTAATTAATAAAAACTTGGGGAGTTACTTCATTTACATGAACACTTTTGACGTTGGCACTTAGAGATACATTACCACTTATTTCATCGTCACTTTTCGTTACAAAAATAATAGTGTCAAATTGTTTCACATTTTGTTACATTAACCAGAGTGTCACATTTTGTTGCACTCTCACTAACTATAATGTCATTTTTATAATGTCATTTTTTTATTAATTTAAGGAGATTTTCACTTATTTAAACAATAATTTAAGGTCTCACTTCTTGCTATACTAACAAGGGTGTCACCTTTCGTTACACTAAAGAGATTTCAACAAAGCTAAATATAGAACAAAGAAAATTGGTGTGAGAAAAACACAAGCTGTTTAATATTTCAATATGAAAAACATTCTGCGTCGATTGATTAGTTACATGAATTCGAATTTTTCATTAAATTTTAGATAGAATGTGTAATGGAACTAATGTTATTCTACAATAGACTCATCTGTACACAGGTGTTAGATTATTGATACTTTAAATAGTATTGAAATATTAGTTTTAGATTTATGGTCACATGTATGCAGGGTTATGGCTATGGAAGGACCTGTGTTGTCGTTTGGTATAGTGTTAGCAATAACATTTGCAAGACATATTTGTGTTTAGTGTTAGCTATCAGTAATCCAGGAAGATTCTGTTATTGTGGCATTACAGGACACTGTTATAACAAATTAAAGCACATTTTATTACACTAGTATTTATTATACAGTAAATTGTATTATAAAACAACATTTCTTTTGTTACTCATTATTTGGTGTTGGAGCAAGACAAAGAATGCGATGCGGGTTAATTATTGAGTAATTTGTTTGTTTGCTACGTGTAACTGTATGGGGATGTTGAAACCACGTTTGCGTTGATTCGTTAGTCCACGTGTCATTGAAAGACAGGTAAGGGAGTGGCGCCAGAAGCGTAGCCAGGGTTGGGGTGAGTGAGGGGTGACAATAGAAGTAGAAAAATATTATAAAGTTCATCTTTGCTGGGTTACTGATTTTCTGAATTGTGAACAGTTTACTAAATATTAGACGGCAGAAAACCTATTTACCTTTAGCTAAGACGTGGAAGAGGAGCCCTAAAAATGTGTGGTTTATTTGATGTTTGGCAGTGCCGGCGCCAGGTTATTTAGCGCCCTAGGCAAAACTTATTAAAAGCGCCCCCCCCCCTGCAATATTTTTCGTGCCCCCGTATTATCAGAGGCGTAGCGACCCTTCCCGGTGCCCTAGGACAAACTTACGATTTGCCACCACTCAGTGGCGTAGGCGAGGTCGGGGTGTCACCCGGTGCGGCACTTAATGGTTTTACCCCCAGAGGCGTAGCGACCATTCCCGGGGACAAACTTTCAAGTTTTCGAATTTGCACCCCCCCCCCCCTCAAGTTTTTCTCTATATATTTTACTATTTTTTTGCCTTGGTGTCACCCCGCCCTGAATGGTGTCACCCCGGTGCGGTCCGCACCCCCCCCCCCGCACCCCCCTCGCTACTCCCCTGCCACCACTCCCCCTTCAAACTTTCATTTTGTTTTTCCAACCCATTTTGCCCCCCCCCCCCCCCCCCTACGGACAGCGCCCTAGGCGACCGCCTAGTTCGCCTTATAGGTAGCGCCGGCCCTGATGTTTGGCTAGCTCAACTTTTAGGCAAACGATCCCACAGATTCCCTTCTATTCTCTAAATCTTTCAGACGTTGCTCTAAACGCCATACCCTTGGAAAAATAAAGCGGAAAAAATATTGTGAAAGGTGGACCTTAACACGTCATCAGTGACCGTAAGGCCTACGTGTTAAGGGGAATTTTAACACGTCATCACTGAGCTGAAGGTCTACGTGTTAAGGGGAATTTTAACACGTCATCACTGAGCTGAAGGTCTACGTGTTAAGGGGAATTTTAACACGTTATCACTGAGCTTAAGGC